ATGTTGAAAGGTAAGAGAACTGTGAGCGAACATGGTAATTCTATGCCATGTTCAAAATTCCTTAATGTTATAACCCCATAATATGTCCCCCCGTCAACACATGAGAGCTGACGGCGGACGTGATGGCGCAAAGTCGGCTGGTGATGTCGACGGTGATAGTCGAATTGGCGATGGATGGTCTCGAACGACAATGGTGATGGCTCAGCACGGTCGGCGATTGGTGCCAGTGTTTCACAACATATCAAAAGGTCAGTTTCTTTTCATTAAAGTGTTTCTAAGATTTTAACTTCACGAAATCATTTCAATCTATTGAATTCATTATGCAATTTTCACGATATTAGTCAAAAAAAGTTACTTACTGCCTCTAACAACAAGCACTCGATGAACGGCAGCTATGTAAATGTTTGGAAGGCGATTCGGTTATGATAATTTTTCGATTCAGTAACGCTTGTTCGGGAGTTTCTGTTCATTATTACATGATGAATAATGAGCGCTGTTTCAGATGTCTAATTTGTTCACGGATGGCTGCACCAATGGCTTCAACAATATATCATCAAAAGGTTAACATTGACAATTGTAGTTGAAAGTTTACTTGTTTCGGAATTTCTGTTCATTATTACATGATGAATAATGAGTGTTGTTTCAGATTGTTAATTTGATCATGGATGGCTGCACCGGTGGCTTCAACAGTATATCATCAAAAGGTTAACATTGACAATTGTAGTTGAAAGTTTACTTCTAACACTGTTTAATTGACAATGCAATAAGGCAAGTTGGTATCCTAAATATTGATTATTAACAATTTCAGATTTATGTATTTGTTTCTGGTGGATGGATCGAATGATGATGAGAAGGACGACTGGAGAAGGTGAACGTTGGAATGGAAAGCAAAAGTTCACGGTATCCTAAATATTGATTATTAACAATTTCAGATTGATGTGTTTGTTCCTGGTGGTTGGATGAAATGATGATGAGAAGGACGATTGGAGAAGGTGAACGTTGGAATGGAAAACAAAAGTTCACACATGAGCCATTTGTCGTTAACAATACTAGGATCTAACACTGTTTAATTGACAATGCAATAAGGCAAGTTGGTATCCTAAATGTTGATTATTAACAATTTCAGATTGATGTATTTGTTACTGGTGGATGGATCGAATGGTGGTGGGAAGGACGACTGGAAAACGTGAACGTTTTGGTTGGAACGATTAGAATCGAAAGCAAAAGTTCACCACATTGGTTTGAATAGTAAGTTGGTATTCAAAAAGATGAAGTTTCATCTACATTCATTATATCGTTTTGAATCGTTATTTTTCAAGCACTTGTTATTTGTTGCATGCTTTTCGTTAAGCAATGCGATTGCTTTTCACTTTTCAAGCACTTTTCACTTAAGTTAAGCAATCACTTTTATCAACTGAATGAGAAGTTCGCTTACCGGTGGTTATGGACATTTTTTTGAGGCAAAGGGAGAGGGCTATCCCATGATAAGCATTATAAACCCGAGAATCATCACATTCACCCCTGTCGGTTTAATTCATCTTGAAGTATTTTTTACTAGTTGACTTTTTATAAGTTCTTTTTTTACTATAACATTATAAGATTCAGTATCAGTGAGACGTAAGAAGATTAAAGAGAGTAGTTGAGCAGTAGTAAAAATACAATTGTTCCACTGGATTTAGATGAGTGAGTTGGGGAAAATCTAAAATATAGTTAGCTTGACAACATTATTGTGACAATTTAGAGAAGATGAATGTTACTGTTTATCCGATCAACTGCCCTTCAGTTTATTCGGACAAAATTCATCAACTTAAACGACTCAACGACCTTACGGATGTGACTGATGCTGTTGAATAATCAGTCATACTGTGATATTGTAAAGGTCATTGCTGTTCTATATTTACCACTATATTCTTGCCATCGTCCTTTACAAGTAATTATTCCAATGATGGATTGTAATTGCTTCAACTGCTTCAAGTTTAACAATATTTTTGAACATATCCCCAAGTTGAAGCACTCGAAAATGACCGGTTACTTATATATCCAAATCGTTCATCGACAACCGCGAAAGAATCATCCCACCGGTCATTCGGAGAGATTTTTAACGAGTCAAATGCTTGGCTCCTCTCCGATTATTCTAACAGATATGCTAAGTAATCTGTTAATATTGCGAAAGTCTGTCGCATTTATTCAATTCAACATTCTCAGCAGCACATTACTTCTTTATGATAGCTGCAATAATATGAAGTATTCCATCGGAGATTCAAT